AAGGGGCCGAGCCGGGCTGACGAAGCGCACCACTGACTTGGTGCGGGGAGCAGGTGCGGGCCGAGCTGGGCTGACGAAACGCACCACTGACTTGGTGCGGGGAGCAGGAGCGGGCCGGACCGGGCTGACGAAACGCACCACTGACTTGGTGCGGGGAGCAGGAGCGGGCCGGACCGGGCTGGCGAAGCGCACCACTGGCTTGGTGCGGGGAGCAGGAATGGACCGGACTGGGCTGGCGACGCGCACCACAGGCTTGGTGCGGGGAGCAGGAACAAGCCGAGCTGGCGACGCGCACCGTAGGCTTGGTGCGAGTGGCAGGAACAGGCCGGACCGTACTGGGAACACACACCACTGGCCCTATGCGGGGATCAGGAACAGGCCGGACCGGACTGGCAACACACCCCAGTACCTGTCGCCGTGCCTCTACATCCTCTTTCCCCCTGGTGACCAGTGACTCCCTTAACCTGGCGGCCTCCTGCTGCCCCGTCGTCCACGGCGTGAGCCCCCCCCTAAAAATGTCCTAGGCGTCTCTCCTACCCGTGGACCAGGTCTCCATGTCTCTCGCCAGACTTTCGCCCTTCTGCTTCCAAGTCCAGCCTCTCTCTTCCTCACACGGCTTGACCCAGTCGAGGAGGCGAAGGAGATCCGCTAGAGATCTCCCTGGCGATGGCTCCTGGACACGCTGCTTGGTCCGGTCTTGGTGGGATCTTCTGTCACGATCGTCGGGAACAGAGGACCAAGGCGCAGCGTTGAAGGCGAACATACTTTTTATTTATTGATTACACGAACAAAACAACAAACGATAACGTGACGTCCTCGGTCTAACACAAACCACACTGGAACAAGATCCCACAAACACTGTGGGAACACAGCCTGTCTAAATATGGTTCCCAATCAGAGACAACCAGCAACAGCTGACACTCGTTGCCTCTGATTGAGAACCACTCTGGCCAACATAGACATACATGAACTAGAAAAACAAAGAACACTCACACCCTGGCTCAACATACAAGCCTCCCCAGAGCCAGGGCGTGACAATTTCACAGTTTGAAGGAACTTCCTTTTCCACTGCAAGCATAGTATGAACCTTCCTTCCTTCACAAGGTAACGGTTTTGTCTTTGAAAATTGTTTTAACTGAATCATAAGGTTTATCAGCTAGTTTACAGTGGAATGATCAGTTTCTCATCACTGGGCTATAAAATTCAGCTAACATTAATCTAGCACCAGGATCAGCAGTGCTTAGCATAAGCTAAATCAGATACTGGCTAGCTAATTTAGCTAACGTTGGTAGCCTCAAACCCCGGCCATATTATATCATATAGTTAGCCTCAATCTCTGCCAGGCCATACTGCTAGCCACAGTGAACGGCGCAAACTTGTGTTTTATTAAAAGCCCTGCTGAAAAAACATGTAAACTATAACAGCCACGGAAACACATTGGACTATGTTAATACTATCAAGGTAAATTACATACTAGCAAGATTGTTGCTTGAATGCAGGGCCAGGCATACATATATTAGAAAATGGAGATACTCCAAAAACATCCCGCTCAAAATCCTGGTAGTTGTCGATTTTTGGACTATGTTGTCTCTATTTTGCTTTATCATTGACTAAAGGAAGACAAGCTACCTAAATGTGACTTATCGGCTAGTACTGAAGCAGGACATGTTTTTGAGTTACGTTTTTAGCCCAAAGCCTTGTATTTAAGCAAAACAACAGCTGAAGGTAGGCAACTTCTTCAGCCTGACTGGCTGTCATTTCAATGCTAGCGTTAGCCACGCTAGCTCGCGATTAGCATGAAGACACTGAAAAGCTCACATTAAGCAAATTTGGCAAGTAACAACCTAATAAAACCTTTGCTAACATTTACAACATAACAGCTTTCAAACAGAATATATTTTAATGTGCATGTTCACTTCGTTTTTGGAATATTTACATTCCATCGAAGCCTATTAGGGTAAAATAACTTCAGGCATATACAGTTGAAGTCGGAAGTTTACATACACTTATGTTGGAGTCATTAAAACTTGTTTTTCAACCACTCCACAAATGTCTTGGCAAGTCGGTTAGGACATCTACTTTGTGCATGACACAAGTAATTTTTCAAACAATTGTTTACAGACGTATTATTTAACTTATAATTCACCGTATCACAATTCCAGTATGTCAGAAGTTTACATACACTAAGTTGACTGTGCCTTTAAACAGCTTGGAAAATTCCAGAAAATGATGTCATGGCTTTAGAAGATTCTGATAGACTAACTGACATAATTTGAGTCAATTGGAGGTGTACCTGTGGATGTATTTCAAGGCCTACCTTCAAACTCAGTGCCTCTTTGCTTGACATCATGGGAAAATCAAAAGAAATCAGCCAAGACCCCAGAAAAATAATTGTAGACTGGTTAATCCTTGGGAGCATAAAAATGCCAGACTACGGTTTGCAACTGCACATGGGGACAAAGATCGTACTTTTTGGAGAAATGTCCTCTGGTCTGATGAAACAAAAATAGAACTGTTTGGCCATAATGACCATCGTTATGTTTGGAGGAAAAAGGGGGTTGATTGCAAGCCGAAGAACACCATCCCAACCGTGAAGCACGGGGGTGGCAGCATCATGCTGTGGGGGTGCTTTGCTGCAGGAGGGACTTGTGCACTTCACAAAATAAATGGCATCATGAGGAAGGAAAATTATGTGGATATATTGCAACATCTCCAAACATCAGTCAAGAATTTAAAGTTTGGTCGCAAATGGGTCTTCCAAATGGACAATGACCCCAAGCATACTTCCAAAGTTGTGGCAAAATGGCTTAAGGACAACAAAGTCAAGGTATTGGAGTGGCCATCACATAGCCCTCACCTCAATCCTACAGAAAATGTGTGGGCAGAACTGAAAAAGCGTGTGCGAGCAAGGAGGCCTACAAACCTGACTCAGTTACACCAGCTCTGTCAGAAGGAATGGGCCAAAATTCACCCAACTTATTGTGGGAAGCTTGTGGAAGGCTACCTGAAATATTTGACCCAGGTTAAACAATGTAAAGGCAATGCTACCAAATACTAATTGTGTGTATGTAAACTTCTGACCCACAGGGAATGTGATGAAAGAAATAAAAGCTGAAATAAATCATTCTCTCTACAATTATTCTGACATTTCACATTTTTTAAATAAAGTGGCGTTCCTAACTGACCTAAAACAGGACATTTTTACTAGGATTAAATGTCAGGAATTGCAAAAAACTGAGTTTAAATGGATTTGGCTAAGGTGTACGTGAACCTCCGACTTCAACTGTACCCAGTACTATATACTACTGCTTCAAAGGAATAGTGTTCCCATTCCTTCCACTTTATTTTCACACAATTGTGTCTTGCAGAAGGGAACCATGAAGAGGAGCTTGGAGTGGGCAAGGGGGAAGCTGATAAAGCATCAGAGAAGACCTGATTCATCAAGTATCACAGTTCATTCTGGTGATTCTCACCTGGTTGGCATGCACAACACAGCAAGGTATGCAACATTAAACCCAATCAAATATCCAATGGTATTAAAACATTCATCCCAATCTATGGTCAAGCAACGTTTAAAGTCAGTTGTGTGTTAATGTTATGAACTACAAACAATCTATTGTTCTTGGAGTCAATTAATCAATTGAAAGTGACTACAATTAGAAATTATTTTAAAACCACTGTGCCAGTAAAGATTACAAAAGAAAAGGAATCTGCTCTTAAATCCGACACTCTTGTTAATGTTTTACGTCAGGCAAAACGTCTTCAGCCACCGTAGGATGGAGAGCTGCTTGTTGGCATTTCTGACTCCAGTGTCTGTGTGGGTGTACCAGGAAAGGACATTAGAAGTTAGGTCCCCATGATATCGAAGCTTCTTACCATCTCCACTACAGCCCAGTCGATATCGAATTAAAAAACTGGAACAATAGATATCGTGTAGCACATGGTAGCAAAAATTCACTGGACAAACTCCAGTTTGCCTATTGTCCCAACAAATGTGTCAATTATGCATTTTACATACGTCAGAGTGGTTTTCTTTTATAGCTCTGCTTTCAACACCATCCTGACCCACAAACTGGTTAGCAGACTCAGGCCTCTGGGTGTAAACCCTGTAATAACAAATTAGATTTTTTACATTATCATAAGAATGTGGATCCCCAGAATGGACCCAACACCTAAACATGCTGACGACACTACCATGGTTCACCTGATCACCAGTGATCATGAGTACATGAAGGAGCTGTGGGACCTGACATAATGGTGATAGGACAACAGCCTCAGCGTAAACAAAACAAAGTAGATGGTGACACTTAATGACCATTCACCCATCTACTGTACATTGACATGGAGATGATCAGCAGCTTCAAGTTCCTGGGCATCCTGATATTCTTTTCTGCCCTCAGTCACTTCTCTCAAAAAGCCCCACCAGTGCTTCTCCACTACCCTCATCAACTTGCTGCACCATGACCTATGTACCAACTGCAGTGTCTGTTTGCCATAACACATGTAAATGAAATGTTGTCCATATTTACTCTAAGATTTATTTACGGTAACATTGCACATATTGTAACATTATAGTCCCTTGACATACATTACTTAACTACTTTGCATAATTCTCAGTTGACCCACTCTACTAAGAAATCATACATGTATTAAAATATTAAAGCTTCATTATGTATTACTGTGTCCAATTGTTTCTGGTTGGTTGTAATGTTTTTTGAAAACTTTCACTACACAACTTTTTTTGCTGATGGCCGATCCTGTCTGAAACTTTCATAATACATCAACCCTTTTGGGACAGATCACCAATTAACATTGACTGCAGTACACTGAACTTTACTAGGTAGTCATGCAATAAACATTTTGGATAATTCCCCTTAAATGAATTCCCTTTAAATGAGACCAAATGTTGGTGACTGTAGAATTCCACTCTCCATTTTCTCCCTGAAGGCTGTGTAAATTGGGTGTATTGGCAGCCTTAAAACAATGCTGCATATATTTGCTTATGGGAAGATCCTGGCAGCCTCATTCTCTTGTTTGTGGAAGAACTGTAGCTGTGGCTCCACTGGGAATCCCAGCCTAGGAATGGCCGATGCCCCCGAAGTGAAAATGAGAACCTTCTCCAGGGTGAAAGGGTATGCGTTCCCCTCTGAAAAAAGAAGGGGTGGGGGGGGGGGGGGGGGGGGACATTAAAGTCCATAAGTAACACTTATTGGAGAACACGATACTCTAAGTGAAAGTGGTATGGGATTTAATGTATCTATTACGTTCTTAGGGGGCCCATGAAAGAATAAGGCTATAAAATGCTGCCCCACAGTTGTGAGAGTGAATAGGTGATATATTTTACTGACGTGGGCCGTGTTACTTCAATGATCATGGTTTTGCATTTAACCTTCCACCTCCAGCAGCCAGTCCCTCCAGAAACAAATGACTCTGCTCTATATTGCTCTTTGATTGGTACCAGGTGGGGAGAGCACAGCTTTGAAGAGAGAAGCTATGTCTTTGGCCAAAAACGGCTTCTCAGCATTGATGAAAACCTCTCTGAAGAGGCTTGAGTGTCTATTCATGTAAGGCAGGAGACCTAGACACTCCAGAACCTCTTTGAATCTATAAAGTAAAAAAAGTAACATAATGAATTTGCCATGAAGAATTTAACTCAGCTTATGAGATTCCTTAGATATATGGAAACTCACTGCTCAAGAGCATCCCGTGGCCTGCTTTCTAAGTAGAACTTTGTGGCTGACTCCACCAGGGCATCCCTCTCCTCCAATGTACAAATGTATCACACTGAACCCAATATGACCAGTTGTTTGGAGGCCTCCATGACAGTTTGTGCTAACTGGATCTTAGACAGTTCAATAACAGTGTTTTGGGACAAATTAGCAAAACACTAAACTGATTATCACTACCCTTAAAAAGATTTACTTCCAACAAAAGGAAACCAAATCCATGTGGAAAAGTAATCGTGAACAACTACAACCCTAATATATTCTTTAAACTTAGTGCAAATTAACAGTAACATAACATCCATCAAAGTATAAAGTGACTTACCTTCTCCAAATTCTCTCTGAAGTCCTATTCCGCAATTTCTTTCAGTTCTGGCACAGGAGGTGAAGTGGTGCAGAAGATGGGGGGGCACAGGAATATGTGCTGCCACAGGTGTAGCCTCGTTTGTAGAAGTAGTCTGTAAAAGGTAATTTAAAGGCTTATACATTTCAAAAACATGGAGAAAGCAATAAAGCTGTTAAACATGAGGTGATTGCATTCTGAAAATGATTTACAGAAAAAAAATGTAGCCGCATGCATCACTCACTATAGAATGTAATCAATGTGTAGGTCAAGAAGACATTTTAAGCATGCATGTAGCTCTATTTTTTAAATAATATTTTCAATATGTATTACATTCAACATGTTGAAATATCGGAACTATACAGTGATACCATGACACATTAAAAGTATATACATTACATCAAGCATCAAGAAAGGCACAGTAATCAGTCTTGGTTGTACAGCTATGTGATTTTACCTTCTCCCGAATGTATAGTGCAGACCTTCCCAATTGCCCACTGGAAATGACTGCAGCAGGTGTTACTGCATGTAACTCTAAGGGGGTAACACGCCTGTGTGTGTCCATCCGGCAGAGGTCAAAATCCCCCTGTGCGAGCTCAGGAAACAGGCTCCTTTCAGATTGTGCTCTTGGGACCACCAGTCTCTGAGCAGTAGTGACATCTAAAAGGCAAATGTTCATTAAAAAAATATGGTTTTGAATAAGGGCATACTGCTACGAATGTAACAACAACAACAAAGGTGGCGAATGAATCTATAGTTCTATAATATTCTTACCGCCTGCAGTAGTGAAGCGTTGGACTCCTGCCCTAAGAAGACTAACCCTAAACGTAGCGGTTACATTTCGTCTTCGTGTTGTCTACTCTGTGACTGCTCAATTCTGAAAATGTAAAACCTATCAGGAAAGTTAATATGATATTATGTTTCACATCAAGGACAATTTATTTTACAGCTTTTCAGAGTGAAAATCATCTTTTACTTTCTATAAGCTTGAGTGAGAAATACTATTGTACCTGATAGCGAGGTTACTTCTGTTCTATGTCTATTAATATAACTTATTATGATAATTGACAACATGTTAGTATTTGTTAACCTCTGTAATTGTTATAAAAATGGTTTACTTAAACCTTAATTGACTATTCCATTGTTTCCTCCCAACGGAATAGTCTTCAGATACAATAAACTATAGGCCACATCTACAACACACACACATGCAGTGTTTGGTTTTCGCCAGGCATTCCTGGAACCATGTCGTCCAAAAATGTTTGAATCATCTGTCCATAGAACGTTCTTCCAAGAGTCTTGATGATCATCCAGGTGCTTTTTGGCAAACTTGAGTCAACATTTTGGACGAGATGGGTCCCATTATGCCTGGCGAAAACCAAACAATGCATTCCACAGTAAGAACATCATACCAAAGGTCAAGCATGGTGGTGGTGGTGTGATGGTTTGGGGATGCTTTGCTGCCTCAGGACCTGGACGACTTGCCTTAATAGAAGGAACCATGAATTCTGCTCTGTATCAGAGAATTCTACTGGAGAATGTCAGACCATCCGTCTGTGAGCTGAAGCTGAAGTGCAGCTGGGTCATGCAGCAAGACAATGATCCAAAACACACAATCAAGTCTACATGAAAATTGCTAAAAAGCAACAAATTGGAAGTTTTGGAATGGCCTAGTCAAAGTCATTGCAGCTAAAAGTGGCACAACCAGTTATTGAGTGTAAGGGGGCAATTACTTTTTCACACAGGGGAATTGGGTGTTGCATAACTTTGTTTATGAAATAAATATGTAATTGTTGTGTTATTTGTTCACTTATGTTCCCTTTATCTAATATTAGGTTTTGGTTGAAGATCTGATAACATTCAGTATAACAAATATGCGAAAGTAGAGAAAATTAGAAAGGGGGCAAATACTTTTTCATAGCACTGTATATATATATATATATATATATATATATATATATATATATATATATATATATATATATATATACATACACACTACCGTTCAAAAGTATGGGGTCACTTAGAAATGTCCTTGTTTTCGAAAGAAAATCATTTTTTTTGTCTTTAAAATAACATCAAATTGATCAGAAATACAGTGCAGACATTGTTCATATTGTAAATGGCTATTGTAGCTGGAAACAGCTTATTTTTTAATGGAATATCTACATAGGCGTACAGAGGCCCATTTTCAGCAACCATCAGTCCTGTGTTCCAATGGCACGTTGTGTTTGCTAATCCAAGTTTATCATTTTAAAAGGCTAATTGATCATTAGAAAACCCTTTTGCAATTATGTTAGCACAGCTGAAAACTGTTGTGCTGATTAAAGAAGCAATAAAACTGGCCTTCTTGAGACTAGTTAAGTATCTGGAGCATCAGCCATTGTGGGTTTGATTACAGGCTCAAAATGGCCAGAAACAAATAGCTTTTTTCGGAAACTCGTCAGTCTATTTTTGTTCTGAGAAATGAAGGCTATTCCATGCGAGAAATTGCCAAGAAACTGAAGATCTCGTACAACGCTGTGTATTACTCCCTTCACAGAACAGCGCAAACTGGCTCTAACCAGAATAGAAAGAGGAGTGGGAGGCCCCGTTGCACAACCGAGCAAGAGGACAAATACATTAGAGTGTCTAGTTTGAGAAACTGATGCCTCACAGGGCCTCAACTGGCAGCTTCATTAAATAGTACCCGTAAAACACCAGTCTCAACATCAACAGTGAAGAGGCGCCTAAGGTCAGTTGTGCTTGGGAGTAATGCTATAAACTACAAAGACTTCGATTCCTGTTCAAACAGTGCCATAGTACTAACCTTAACGTTCCTGATTTATGTCTGAAGATGTTAATTTCTACATCATAGGCTTAGATGAAATATTAATATTTCAAAGGGTATTCAAAAGTAATATATGTGCTGTTGGAAAGCTGATATGTTGTAGATATTAGCAAAGTTTTTACAGGGTTGTCCTTGGTCGAATGAGCTTTATGTGAGCTTTGTAAATGTTTTCATGCTAATCCCGAGCTAGCACAGCTAAGGCTAGGTAGTACTGAAATTACAGCTACCCAGCCAGCCTGCCTGCCTGAAGTTTTAGACCTTCAGCTGTTGTTTTGCCTAAAAATACAAAAACATGTTTGACGTCAGTACTCCTCGATAATATGTCACCTTTATTTAGCTAGTCTTAAAGCATAGCCATGTCATGTTTCAGTGGCTGTTAAAGTTAACAATTTAAAAAAAAATTCAAGCAGGGCTGAAGAAATGTCACAAGAAGGCGCCGTTCACTGCGGCTATTGCCGGGGTTTGAGGCTAAGAAACGTTAGCAAGCTAACTAGTAACTAATTTAGCAATCCAGCCATTTAAACACCAGCATTCATTTTAAATATATATATATATATACAGTGAGGAAAAAAAAGTATTTGATCCCCTGCTGATTTTGCACGTTTGCCCACTGACAAAGAAATGATCAGTCTATAATTTTAATGGTAGGTTTATTTGAACAGTGAGAAACAGAATAACAACAACAAAAATCCAGAAAAATGTATGTCAAAAATGTTATAAATTGATTTGCATTTAAATGAGGGAAATAAGTATTAGCGGTTGAACGCGTTAATTTAGCGCCTGCACCTGCTTACTTTACACGCGTAGCATTAGAAAGATCGAGTTTTGACCACGTGCTTTATGAACCTAACGGCGTTCCATAAAAGAGCAGACCTGTAAAGCTTAAATACCCACCCAATAAGGTAGGCGTAATTGATACTAGCCTCTAATTGGTACCATCTCAGCTGATGCATCAACTGAGGTGGGGCACTCGGGTGTCCTTTCTGAACTGGCTCCGTTTAATATATGAGAGAAAAAATCTGAGATTACAAACTGGATTTATGCTCTTGGGCACACAGGATGTAAATACAAACAAATCAAACACTGAAAAACAACATTTTTTTTTAATGGTTAAAATAAAAATGTCAATGAAAAGTAGAAAATGACAGCTTAAATGAAAATGAAGACACTTTGGCCTTGAAGGGCTGAGATTTTGTCCAATATATCTCCTTGGTTGCTAAATTCGGTAAGGCTCAGGGGACTCCTCACAAACCTCAGATCGCTTCTCTGTGATGGAATAGCCAAGTTACAATTTCCCATCTCAGACGGCTAAACTCTTGATCTGTCTGCAGCACACTTAACTCTGAGGCTTTGATCCTTGATCTTTAGGCTAAGTTAGAGGAAAAAGAAACACAAATAAAATGAGCTCATTTGGCCCTTTTTCCACCAAGGAGGGAGAAAAAAAACACATCATATTCTGTTCTGTTTCAAGGGACCCAAAGTCCCAGGCTCGTATGGAATACTAGTGTTCTCTTTCCCTCCCTACCCAGCCCTCCTTTTGGACTGAACGACTTTATGGAAGCCGGAATTAAAATGTCCCCTCTGACCAAGTGACCTTTTATAATAGTTTGAGTTTAGCTCTATTACCCACATAATGAGTTGGAACACGACACTTGCACGGTATATTAAGAGCACAAAGATATAGGAAAGGGTGAAGTACAACCGGGCATTATTTTAACATGTGTGTATATTGGTGATAAACACATGGCACATTAGGCAGTAGATTAGTGTGTTCCTCTCAGGTGCAATCCATTGCCAGCCCAGGAATCTAACAGCCAGGCTCCTAAACAACAAACAAAGCTATCTCACAGGGGACTAATTAACCATGAAACCAGCCCTGAAACTCACCTCATTCATTCTAGCACATTCCACTGACACAAAATGAA